TGTCTGGCAATATGATTTCTAAATTAATGGCAGTGCTATATATTGTAATGCATAAAGATAAGAATATGTCATGAACATTGGAAGGTAGAATTTGAGAAGGATCTGATATTAGAAGTGAGGTTGCTGAAAAACCTGCAGTAGTGAGTATTTTTTCCTGCTATCGTGGTCAGAGCTCAAATCTCTTTCCACAACAAAATGTTCTTCAGCTAAGATGCCACATCAATGGATCTTAAATAAACATTATTGTAGTATATAGACTTAATTCTTATACCAAAGCTTATTTCTCAGCCTCTTGTGATTTTTCAAGTGCACATATGTTTATTGTATAGTCCTAGCAGATCCAATCATGTTTATTTAATTACTATATGTACATAAATGTGTGCATGTGAACATACATACTTCCACTTCTGTGTTTGATTTATATAGCCTTTTAAAATATCTATCATTGCCTATTGTTTTAACACAATATCTTCAGTAAATAGAAACACAGAATAGAAGGTCACTATGTTTTATTATCCCTGTGAAGACAATAGCATATGAGGTAGCTTTAATATTAGAATATACTACGATTTTTTGTTTTACTTAGTTGGCAAATCGTAAAGACAGTTCATTGTATGGTAGAAATAGTATTTAATCTTAATGAAATCAGGGTGGAATTTCTTCTTCTATTACCAATGGCAGTTTGGAAAACTGCATTCAATTTACTGGTTTTTATACTTTGAAGCTATGCAAGAAGCATTTGAAACTATAATTTTGAAGCTCCTTTATGGTGTGAAAAGTTTCTGGTCATTTTTTATCACTAAAGATGATGGGAAATAAAAATGCGTAGAGCTAATAGGAGATATAAAGATATACTTAGTATATGAAATTGAGGTAGTATTTTTAACCATCTCTGTTATTCCTACTTATGTCATCATTGAATTGAAATTCATGCACTTTATATGCAAAAATAAATTTTTAAAATTAAAATCAAATAAATATACTGTCAAACTCCAACTTTCCAATTTAACATTTGCGTGTTTTCTTGATCTTAAAATGTATGGTTGAAGGAAACAAATGCTTTTATTTTGAAATTTGAGATACACCCTTTAAAGAAATTGTACATCTGCCAATTTGGAGTTATATAATCATAGTTAACTAAGTCAGTTAAAACTACGCTATAAATTAGAGGTGCCTTATCAAAATCTAGTCTAAATGGAAGAAGCAAATATATATTGAATGTGAAAACAAACCATAGAGAAAAAAAAAATCCATCAGTCCAGGAATTACCTAACTTAAACTTCCTATATTATCAAAAATTTACTTTGCTCCCTCGGTAACATTACATATATGTGTGGCTACAATTTCTGAATCCTTAGTATTTTCAATATTTCTGGGAAACAATGGACTTAATTGAAATCAGCAAGGAATTTACTATTTGTTTGCAGAGCAGCAATATCAAGGCAAAGTGAGGCTCTGTGTTATATGTCCAAAACCGTAACTGAAATGCTACAAGGCACATATGCTTGCAAACACGGTTTAAAATAAGAAGCCAGCGGGGTGTGTGGCTCATGCCTGTAACCCTAGCACTTTGGGAGGCAAGGCAGATGAATCACCTGAGATCAGGAGTTCAAGACCAGGCTGGACAACATGATAAAACCCCATCTCTACTAAAAAAATACAAAAAAATTAGCCAGGTGTGGAAGTGGGCGACTATAATCCCAGCTACTAGGGAGGCTGAGGCAGGAGAATCGCTTGAACCAGGGAGGCAGAAGTTGCAATGAGTCGAGATCACGCCATTGCACTCCAGCCTGGGCAAGAAGAGCAAAACCTCGTCTCAGAAAAATGAAAACCAACCAAACAAACAAATAAAACAAAGTAAGAAGCCAATTAGTGTGCTCAACATGTCCAAACCTGGTCTGGATCCACATTACCTATAAATAAAGAAGCTGTGGTTTCAAACACTTAAAAATGATAATTAAGGGTAGTACTTAGCAAATGTTCTTGTTAATAATAAGCATGTCAGGGAACACTTTCTCTCTTTCTTCCTTCCTTTCTTCTTTCTTTCTTTTTTCTTTATTTCTTTCTTCCATTCTTTCTTTTTCTCTCTTTCTCTATTTCTCTCTTTCTTGATGGAGTCTTGCTCTGTCACCCAGGCTGGAGGGCAGTGGCCTGATGTCAGCTCACTGCATCCTCGGTTCCCCGGTTCAAGCAATTCTCCTGCCTCAGCCACCCCAGTAGCTGGGATTACAGGCACCCACAACCAACCACACCTGGCTAAACTTTGTATTTTTAGTAGAGACAGGGTTTCACCATGTTGGCCAGGCTGGTCTGAGACTCGTGACCTCGTGATCCACCCACCTCAAGCCACTGTGACTGACCAACACTGGCAACTTTTAAGGATCAAAACTCTTCAACACATTAATTAGAGGTTAGATTTACAACTATTTTCCCCCAGTTTTAAGAATTTATTCCAGTTTCTTAACTTCTTATTTATCTCTATATAGAGTTATTGAAATGATTGAACTTACCTAAAGGACTGAGTTAATTATATAAGCAAATATTATAATCTCAATAAACAATTTCTATTAATTCATGTTATTGATATTGTCATATTATATGATATTATATTCTGGTTTAGGTTATTCATTACATCATTTAACATAAGTTATAAGCTAATTATTAAAATTCAGTGAAACCAAAATCTGTGTCAGGCACTCAGCTAAACTCATTTAAACCTTCAAAACCACTGGATGAAACATGCATTGTTATTATTCCCATCTCAAAGGAGAAGCAATTGAATTTTAGAGATTGTGAGTAAATTTTTCAGGGTGCTGCAGTTAGTAAGCATTGAACCTGGCGTTAAATTCTGAATCTGGCAGATCTTAAGTCTTGTTCTCAGAAGGGTTAAATACCTTGCCACATAGGTAGAAAATCACTCCAGAACGTCATTGAAAAGATCAATGTTAAACTAATTATCATTATTATTTTTTACAGTAGGCCTCCCTAATCCAAAAGTGATAAGTTTCAATAACCCCAGTGGATGCTCAAATCCACAGATAGTACCCAACCTAATTGTTCTCAATAGAAATATGCCTCATTTCATATCTTCCACTCAAAAGTTTAATGCCTTTTCCTTCTTATTAGGAATTTATTATACACGTAGGCCATAACATGTGCAATTTGAGGTGAATCAACAAAACTAACATAAATGCATTTCTCCTTCTTCACAATTTCACAAATAGAAGATTTCTTCTTACTGTATATCATAGCAACCTAAGTAGATGACCCATTTTACTTAAAGGAAATCTTTTATGGCTTCTCTTTGGTATATGTGAATTGCCAGCACCACATGCATTCACTTTTATGACATTATTAAGCAAAATAAGAATTACTTGAACATAAACACTGTGATACCATGTCCATTGATCTGATAACTGACTAACTGATGGGTAGGTAGCAAATGCACCGAGAATATGATAGAGAAAGGAGGACTGACATTCATTCCTGCCAGGATGAGTGAGATGGTGTAAGATTTCATCACAGTACTTAGAGTGAAGTGCAATATAAAACTTATGAATTGTTTATTTCTGGAACTTTCCATTTAATATTTTTAGACTGCTGTTGATAACAGGTAAATGAAGCAATAGAAAATAAGTGTGTCTAAATTTTAACATTTCCACTGGGTGGCATCTTTACTTGATGAGATCTAAAAATCTTATCTACCTCTCCACCACTTCCAGTTTTCTCCGTTGTTAAGTTTATAATCATGCAAGTGAATCTCTTGAGAGCCAAAAGCCAGTGCTAAACACATGTGAGCTCAAAACTCTCAACTTTCACTTATCCTTTGGAATTTCTGTCTTTCTCTAGAATCCTTAGCCCTGCATGCCGCTGCAAATTAGACTTAGCTTTCCACCCCTGAGGTTTCTTAAAAGAGCATATAATTATGCTTTCCAGTATTTACATCTCCATATTAGACAAGAATCAAATTGACCTTTAAGTGTAATGGAATGAGCACAATTATCACTGAAAGGTTTCAATGTAAACATATACCTGTATCAAATTTTAATATGGTGCACCTAACTGAAATGAATAGAAATTAAATATTTTATTAAAATATATCGACATTCTATTACATATTCCCTGTCACAAAATTATAATAAAAATTTTAGATGGTTAAAGATCAAAATCTCATATAAGTATGTATTATATTTCCCTGGAATAAAAGTACTTTTTAACATACAAGCATTTGAAAGAAATAAATTAATGCCATTCTCTTTGACATTATGCTTATGTTTTCAATTTATACTTGGAAGTTTGAAAACAGAGAAATAAATTATGTGGCTGCTTCACATTAGTGTGAAAACTCCTCTGACACTGTAAAAATAACAACAGCATTAAGTTACTTAAATAATTTGTGGTATTTGAAGAAAGCTCATTAGCACCTTGTAAATTTTCACATAGCCTGTGTTATAACTTCATTTCCAGAGGAGTTATTATAGCACAAAAACAAATCTCATGTGCAATTAATAACTGAAAGATTCATTGAATGATTTTGAATAGAAGACTCTACATAATAAAGAATAAATTTTCAACGTAGTGTGTGGGGCTGAAATATTAATAAGAGTCATACTAGTGGAAATTATTCTTTTCTTTTTATCTAGCCACCCACTTAGAGGAATAGTCCTATACCACAGATTCTACACTTTAGTAGATCATTCATTCTATTGGAAAGTCATGTCAGGTTATTTTACAATTTGAGATAACTTTTTTCAAAAGTTCAATGAATTATCTTCTTGAAAATATCTTCTTTGTTACTTTATTCTTCAACATAAACAATAAAAATAATATACTAAAATTCAATATGTGCCATCACTTAGTATTCTGATTTAAAACTCAACAGATAAACAAACCTTCAGGGACAAGGGGGATCTTCATTTTCACTCATGTAATTGAGGCTTAGCAAACTTCTGCAATGAAGATCTGAACCCACAGCTACCACCAAGAGATGATGTGTGCCCAGTTCTAAAGAAGACCCTTAGGGATTATTAAAGAGATAATAAAATTTATTCTTACTACAACTGCCACTTTCCCACAGTGGTGACTCTCAAGCTTTTATCCCCAAACTTTATGCAGCAATGACTGGGGATAAAGGAAGAGTTGACAGTTGCGAGTTAAGAGTCACTGACATAGTCTTTGTAAGTTTTCTGGAAACATACTTGTAAAGGCTACTCACAGGCAGACAGGTGAGGGGGGCCTCAAAAGAGTAATTCATAGAAAATAGAAGTATTGGGAGCTCACTCCCTTGCTGAAAGCAAGCTGAACTGCAGAATCTTCAGGACTACCTTTCCACCACTTTCTCTGTTGTTACTTGCCTGGTGAAAGAGAGAAATCTTCAAGGAGCATGTCCTGCATTTATGGAGTTGGAGTGAATATGTGGAAAGAAGGCCACTGACTTGTAATCTATTTCAGGGGGATATTAGATCTAAAAGCATTATGTAATACAATAAAATTATAGATTATATAAGAAAATATCAACTCGACCTTTGATTACAATTTCACAAATAGAAATTAAAAAGTATTAATCATGATTAATAATTGAAGTAAAGAAAACACATATATATTATGACTCATAAATGTATTTTACATTTGTAATATGTACATATAATTAATATTATAAAATATATTATTGAGTATATAAAATATATTATTGAGTATATAATATATGTAAATAAATAAATATATAATTAATATATACGTGTGATTTCAAAAGGAAGCCATTCAGAAAACATTTGTAAAACACAAAATAGAAGCTTTGTTCTCAGAATACATTTTAAAAATATACAAATGAATTTTTAAAAGCGTTCAAAATAAATAAATGAACACATTTATAAGATAATTATATTTGCGTAAACTGTGCCAGTTTTGACTACAAGAGACAAAGAGAGTAAAATCAAAGTCATTTTCATTTGCTGAGGTATTTTGAATAAAGAATTCATAAGTCCAGAGGGCAAAGATAAGAATCACGGAAAATCAGTCCATGGTAAGTGTACAACTGAGTCTTAAACAAGAAAATTTTCAATTTGCCTGCCATAATTTCAAAAATACTGAGAAAGAGTGATTTCTGTGTTCTTCCCAACACCCACACTTCTTCGGAAAGGAATGTTTTTAGCAGTACCCCAGAACCATCTCACTATGTTATGCTGTGTGTATGTAAAAAGAAGGGGAAAGATAAGTGGTTTCTTTAACTCACAGATCTTCAGATTGAGAGAAACTACTTGAGAAGTTGCTCATAAAACTTAATTTGGTTAATAAGATACTATAATTTTAATAAGATGAGACAGTTCATGGCCTAGGAGGAGGGTGAATGTATTTTGCATGTGGGGGTAACAGGAATCATTGGTGGCCAGAGGGCACACTGTACTAGCAGCTGCTGAGACGGCCCCCGGTGATTCCTTCTTCCCGATATTCAGGGATCTTGTGAAGTTCCCACCACAATTATTAGGGCTGACTTGTATGGCCATAAGGATATTGCAGAAATGACAAAAAGTGATGACTTCTCATATTTTTCTGAAAATCTTGAATTAGTTTTGTAATACAATAGAATGAGGGTATGTTAAGGGAAGATTTGGATATTTCTTTGGCTATAGCAGTATTGTGAAATCTTACCTTTCTCACTGTCAAGATACAAACTCAACACAAAAGGGAAGGTTCTGAAAGCAATCACCTGAAAGCTCAATACATACACATTGAGGTTTGTAGGATAAAGTTAATTGGTGTCTAAGTCATGCATAATAATCAAAATGATGAGAGATGAACAAGACAGGGGTGTAGTTTAGGAGGTACCTACCTTTTCCTTCAGAGCTTTTCCCATGTAACAGATATAGGTGATAACACACAAAAATATTCATTGTAGTATTTTTTAAGAATCTCTTCAATAAAGACTTCTCACTGTGAACAAATCATAATAGAAGCTGAGGTATGTCTGGAATTTACAGGCTGCTGAATTAATGAATGGCCAGTAAAAATAGAGATGCATTTATCTACATCAAAAAACAACAGATCAATAATGCCAGCAATGTGGAATAGCTTGTGCAGCCAAAACATGTCTATGAGAGATAAATTGAAATACTCCCTAAATCCAGCAAGTACTTATACTAGAGTTGCATCACCAGTTTGTGACCATATCCACTGGGAAGGAATTAATTGGCTCAGTTTCCTATCCTTCTTCCTACAGGCCAACCAAGGAATGGTCAGAAGCTTTCATTAAATAGCTGCAATAAGCAAAAACAGAAAAGTAGTCAACTAAATAAACTTCTCTAGAGGCAGACTTCTTTCCTATAACATGCATGATTTGAGTAAGAGACAGAGACTACATTTTAAATCAAATTTAAAATTCTTGATAGTTTAATTCTGTATCATTTTTACTTTATTTATTTATTCATTTATTTTTATTGTACTTTAAGTTCTGGGGTACCTGTGCAGATCATGCAGGATTATTGCATAGGTACACACATAGCAATGTGGTTTGCTGCCTCCATTCCTCCATCACATACATCTGGCATTTCTCCCCATATTATCCCTCCCCAACCTCCTCAGCCCTCTGTTGTCCCTCCTTTGGGCCCCTCCAACAGACCCCAGTGTGTAACCATTTTTCGACATAGCCATAGTATGCTATTTCTTCATGAACTCAAACACTGTGCCTGGAGATTAATTGGAAATTAGATATTTCAAATACAGAGATTTCCTTTCTACATAGACATCTCCCATTTCTTCTCCCAGAGTTCATCTCACCACAGAATTACAAAGCACTTCTGTTTCTTTGGCAAAAATATAAAAAGTAGTATAATTTAACTGTTTCTTTTCTTTTTTTCTTTTTTGTTATATCAACTCAGAAAACAAGACTTGGGATGGAGATTTTTTATTTTATTTTATTGCACTTTAGGTTCTAGGGTACATGTGAAGAACACGCAGGATTGTTGCATAGGTACATACATGGCAATGTGGTTGGCTGCCTCCATCCCCACCACCTATATCTGGTTTTTCTCCCCAAGTTATCCTTTCCCAACTTCCTACCCCCCAATGTCCCTCCCCTAGTCCTAGTCCCTCCCCAACAGACCCCAGTGAGTGATGCTTCCCTCCCTGTGTCCATGTGTTCTCATTGCTTAACACCTCCTTATGAGTGAGAACATGCTCCCTATGAGTGAGAACATGCAGTGTTTGATTTTCTCTTCTTGCGTCAGTTTGCTGAGAATGATGGTCTCCAGTTTCATCTATGTCCCTACAAAGGACAGGAACTCATCATTTTTTGTGGCTGCATAGTATTCCATGGTGCATATGTGCCACATTTTCCCTGTCCAGTCTATCATCGATGGGCATTTGGGTTGGTTCCAGGTCTTTGGTATTGCAAACAGTGTCGCAGTGAACATATGTGTGCATGTGTCTTTATAATCAAACGATTAGGCTACATACCCTGATGCCTTTGCACTGGCTATACCAACATGAATTAATTAAGTTCCATATTACATGAAACAATTGTAAAATGCAATTACCGCATGATTATGTTGGCCATTAAAAAAAATGTGAGTCCAAGTTAAGAAGCAGCATGGTTTTAAGGACTTTACATATATTGGTACATTTACTCTTCCTAGGGTTGTCCCAGTGTAAGGGGGTACTGTTAACCATTCTGTGATGAGGCATTTGAGGCACAGAGAGTTAAAGTAATTCAAAAATCTTACAGGTAAGAAGAGACAGAGGTCAACTATACACACATGCAGCATTGCTCTATAAGCTGTGTCCCTATCCGCTATACTGCACTACCAGTTGTTCAAAATCTCTATTTGCAAGTTTTCTTTTTGGCCAAGCCATATCTAAAAGATATGATGAAAGAAATAAATTTTTCAGATTCAGGAATTATAGTCATTAAAATCATGCAAGCAAGTAAACTGTTGTTTTATTTATCAATTTAATGTTTTTAAAATATACATACATTGTCAAATTACTTGTAAATAATGTATATTTAGTTGTTTGGAAAACGTATGCTGTATTACTACAGTAATCTATTAAATATTGATTATGAAGCACTGTGCTACAGTAAATTAGTTGTAAATCATTTTACTGAAGAATGAAATTGGCAAAGAATTAGTATTCTAGTGAAATTTAAAATTGTCTCCATTTTATAATGTATATTTTTCCTTTTTCATATACAGTCTTTTATATTTGTACAATATCTTTGTTCATTTGAGATGAGTGTATTGAGGCTTAGAAGTATGCTTCTCAGATTTGCATCACGAAAATGTTCTATATATAAGAAAAGATATCTGATTAAATCTTAAATAAAATCTTAATATTAAAAACTAAGGTAAGCCTTTGCTCTCATGATAATGTAAGGGTTTCAAGTTTTTGAGAAAGAAAATAACTTTATTACTGATTTATTTCAATAAAACATGTTTAGCATCAATTACATGTAATGTAGAAGATAAAAGGAAAAGAGCGTATCTAGTCATACCATCAGGTTAGCAAATTTGATGTTCCCAATACTCCTGTTTCTACATTTTTATTAAAATGTTTATAATTTCACCAGACAGTATAGACAAGGAAAATCCATAGTAAAAAGATCACTAAAGACAGAAACTGTGACTGAAATTATACCCTCAGAACAACCTCAGAAAAAGGCTACGGGATGAAAGCAAACAACATTAGATTATTTCACTTTTCTTTCCCTAATTCTAAGTTGCACTGGCTATGCTGAACTGAAAGCAGGAATCTAATTGTGTATTTTTATTAAACAAGACAGAAAGAGAGTCTGTTATTGTTTTCCAGAACATTTAGATACCCAAGGAAAAGAATTATAAAGAGGATTGACTATAAACACACTGATTATCTTAAATGTAAGAAAAGAATTGCAAAGAGGAATGACTGTAAACACTGATTATGTTGAACATAGGACCTATTCTTATACTAGAGACTTCAAAGAAATAACAATCTGATTTCTAGAATCTTAAGCATAGTCTGAATGAAACAAAGATCTCAAAAAAAAAAAAAAAAAGGAAGCACGTGTACACCTAGAACAATCCAGAATAATTGAATTTAAACTGAAAATATTATGACAATATAAATGGGTAAGCACTCCAAAACATATAAGATTGCGAGACACTTCTTAAAAAATAGAATGTATCTCACCAGTGAGGGCAACAGCACTCTGTGTCTCCAAGTAAACTTGAAAGGCAGTCTGGGTTATAAGAACTGCCACTCTTAGGCAAGTCCTAGTGCTGAACTAATCCCAGGGACAGTGGAATTGGTGGCGGTGGTGGTGGGGGGTGGTGGCTCAGAACATACTGAGGCACCGACTGGGGCAGCCATCCCTTCCCCAACCCCAGGCTGCATAACTTGCATCTCTAAAAGAGACCCCTTCCTTACACCTGAGGAGAGGGCAGGGAAGAGTGGGGAAGACTTTGTCTGGCATCCTGGATACCAGCTTAGCCAAAGAAGGATAGGGCACCTGTCAGCATCTTGAGGCCCTAGATATAAGATGGCATTTCTAGTCACACCCTGGGCCAGAAAGAAACTCACTACCTTGAAGGAAAGGACTTAGTCCTGGTAGCATTTATCGCCTGATAACTGAAGAGCCCTTGGGCCCTGAATAACCACCAGCGATTCCCAAGAATTACATCAAGGGCCTTGGATGAGCTTATGAAACTTGCTGGCTTCAGGTGACACTCAGTACATTACTAACTGTGGTGGCTAAGGGGTAAAACACATGCTTGAGAAAACCAGAGAAAGAAACCAAAGAGGACTTTGTCCTGCACCTTAGGTATAAATAAGATTATGGAATGGTAAAACACCAAGTGAGCTCTTAGGAGCTCTGATTTCTAGGACATGACTCTTGAATGGCATTTCTGGCCCTGCCCTGGGCCAGAAGGGAGCCCACTGCCCTGAAGGATGAGTCCAGGTCTGGTGGCTTCACAACAAATTGATTTAAGACTTTGGAGGCCTTAAGGAAACACTGGTGGTAGTCTGGCAGTCCTCCCCATAGTCTGAGGTGGCAGTGGGTACAAAGAGAGGCTCCTCTGCTTCTAGAAAGAGGAGGAAAAAGTGGGAAGGACTGCATCTTTTGGTTGAGTGCCAGCTGAGCCGAAATAAAACAGAACACCGGGTAGACTTCTAAAGTTTTTGACACTAGTCCCTGACTCCTAGACAGCACTTATGGACTTACCTGGGGTCATGTGGCAGTTGGGGGACCTTGCCATCCTTAAAGAAAAGACACTGGCCTGGCTGGCTTTGCTTTTTCTAATTGTAGAGTCCCAGAGCATTCAGCAAACCTTGGCAGTAATCGGGGAGTGGTTACAGCAGGATTTGGATGAAAGCCAGTGCTATACTGGCTTCAGGTGTGACCCAGCACAGTCATAGTGGTGGTGGCCACAAGAGTGCTTGTGTCACCCACCCCTAGGTTTAGGTGGCTCATGAGAGAGACAGACAGAGAGAGAGAGAGAGAGAGAGAGAGAGAAATTCTCTATGTTTGGGAGAAAGTAAAAGAGGAGTCTCTGCTATGTAATCCAGAGCATTCTCCCAGGTCTTATCCAAGACCAACAAGGTAGTACTTCTACAAATCTGCAAACACCACAGCATTACTGGGCCCCCTAAAGTAGATACAACTTAAATCATAACACGCAAGTCTTTTTAAATATCCAGAAAACCTCTCCAAGAAGGTTGGCTACAAAAGAGTCCAGACAGTTAAGATTTTTTTTGAGACGGAATTTTGCTCTTGTTACCCAGACTGGAGTGCAGTGTTGCCATCTCGGCTCATCACAACCTCCACCTTCTGGGTTCAGGCAATTCTCCTGCTTCAGCCTCCTGAGTAGCTGGGATTACAGGTACGCACCACCATGCCCAGCTAATTTTTGTATTTTTTTTTTTTTTTTTTTAGTAGAGACAGAGTTTCACCATGTTGA